CAGCCTCACTGTGTGCTTATCCAGAGGCTGCAGTGCTAGGACCTTTCTGGGTAGAAGCCAAAGGGTAGGTGGGGTCAATCCAAAAGACAGAAGGCAAATGTAACCTCCATTTACCCTGAGCTCAGAAGGATAAAGGAATAAGTTGACCTGAGAATAGGGGGTAGACAGGGGACATCTTGAGATGATTAAATCCTATTTTAAAATCAGAAGCAAAAGAGGAACAGGCAGAGGAGGTTAAGAGCACTTGAAAAATGCTTGTTCCCATATCCATAGCTAGTCCCTTTTGTGAGTGAGAAATTATTTTTTGCTGTAGACATCCCTTATGAATCTTAAGCTCAGTGTATGGTGGGAAGGGGCGGGAAGGAAGGTGCTGTGTGCAGACACTGAGGAGCTTCCATGGTGGGAGGAAGGGATTTCAAAGGAGAAGCTGTTCAGATTTTGAGTTGGGTTTGGAGGGTAGAAGATATGAAACCCCACATGTACTACACACACACACACACACACACACACACACACACACACACACACACACAATCTTCTTTCTCACTGGTGATGGCAGCCCTGTTAACAGACTATCAGGATGGAAGCAAAGATCTCCAGGTATTAGATCATCTATTTTGCAGAATCAGGATAGAGTCCAGAAAGCCTTACCAGGAGACAGTGGGTGGTATGGTAAGAATAAAACTCTAAATTTTGGAGCATCATGGAAGAGCAGTGCCCTGGGAGGTAAAAGACTACAGTCTCAATCCTGACTGTGATACTGAACATCTGGGGGTCTTAAGCAACTCAGTGCAATTCCACAAAGTATTTGCTGAGTGCCTTCTAGAGACAAGGGATTAAATAGTGAAAGACATAGTGTATGTTCTTAAGAAACACAATCTTGCCTAGATAAGTAAGTGCTCTGAAGAACAGGAGGTGCACTGAGTAGGGAAAGTCACTGCTTCTGCCTTGGGTGAGGCTTGAGGAGGGGCTGAACATCCTCAGGGGTGGAGGGCATCACAAGAGGCCCTGGCAGGATGAGCAGGCCACTGAGCCTAGAAGGTGGGGAAGGGCTTTCTACTTTCCTTCTTGAATCTCAGTTTCCCTCTGGTCGGATGGTAGCCATAACACTGGATGCCAAGTTATTTAGCAAGATTCTGGAAGCAGAAACCACCAAGGATGTGGAAATCACCTTCAATGAACTGTCTTGTTTTCTATTGGTCTTGTAATTTGTTTCTTGATCTTTGTAATATGTATAGCTTCTACTCATTGGAGGATTTTTGTTCACTTGTTGTTGTTGTTTCTTTTTGTTTTCATTTTGGCTAAATCTCTGTTCTTTATTTTGAAAGTAGGTAAACCAAATGTTTATTTTTTCTCAGATCTCATTATGTTAATCTTTTCTTTAAAACCTATACTGTGATGAATGGTGCTTATAGAATAAGGCAGCTTTTCTCTAGAACCAAGGATCTGTCCTCAACCCACTCAGTCTTCATTTTTATACACTATCATCCAACCTCTCTGTCTACTTCTTTTCTTCCCTGTGAACACCTTTGTTTTCCTGCCTTCCTATCTTTGCTTGGACTTTTCCATATGTCTACAATCCTCTCCTCTAACCCACTCTCTTTGTCTTCCTATTCTTCACCATCTGTCTGCCTTCATGATGAGGAACAGGCATAGTAGATCTTCCTACCTCCCAAATCAGAATTTTCTCCTTTCTATCAAGTTCATAGTCTTCAAAGTAAACTGTATCCCAACCAGAATTCTATATCCAGCTGAACTCTCGAGGAAAAGCAAGCAATAAACATTTGCAAATCAACAATGACTGAAGGAGTTTGTTGTATGTAGACCCTCCCTGAATAAAAAGATTTATTCTCAATTGTATAGTCAGAGAATATCTTTTTATTTTAACATAGTCTAGCTACATTGCTAGCTTGAGATCAGCCATGGTGAAAATGTTTATACCACAATAATCAGTATACACTACAAAACAGGACTCTTTCTCATCCCCCAGCAAGTGGACGTATGTGCAGGTGAGATGGTAATCTGCTTACATGCATTGAATATATATAATATATATGCATATATGTATATACATATACACATATGATATCTATCATGCACATGCATGATATGTACACATGCCTGTGTGTACATACATATTAGACACACTAAAAATGTATAATGTGGTTAAACCTGTATGTTGATAAGCAACCCTTCCTCATTAGGCTATTGGGAAAACTTCTGTGGTTGCAGTGGCTCAGAACCATCTCTATACTTTGGTTCCATTTTCCCCCTCTTCCTGAGCATAGAATTTTGTTTCCTATTATTACCACCCCCACTTTTTTGTTACTCTGTCCCTGGCAAAAATATTCACTTCTTGGAAAGAGAGCTCATACACTAACTGAGGACCTGTACAAACTGCTCAGTTTGCTCTTTGAAGTAGAGAGTCTTGGCTTGGCCATATGGATGTCTATGGACAAATGGTGTGGGAGGAATTGGTGGAGTAAAGGCATCAGGATTCTTCTGCTTCAGGTACAGCCCTGTAAACTGCTGTCTGTGAGTCTGCTTGCTATAGGTTTCCTCTGCTGGCCACTGCCTGGACTGGCCTGCAGAGCCAGCCAAGATAGCCTCATGGGTTCTGTTGGCATAGAATCCAAGTTGGGTAATGGGGAGTCATGGATCAAGAGGGAAAAGACAAGTCAAGAGACATGATGCAAGTGTGGGTCATGATTAGAAGAGCCAATAAACTAAGGCACCTAAGCTGGAGGTGAAGGTGGAGTGACAGCATTGGGAGGGGCACAGTGAGGTGTGGCTGGGAGGAGATAGGTAAGGGACAGGTAGAGACAAGAGAGGCAGGGGCTGGGAGAAGGCTCTGGCTCTGCCTTCTCAGACTCATAGCTCTGCTTTCTACTGAGTTGTGTCAGGCAAAAGTTAAAGTACTGGATGTGTGCAGGGGATGGTTATGGCTGTGAGAAAAAGCCTTTAGACAGGAAAACAGGATCTTCTAGCTTGAGTGTATCTTTTGAAGCTCTCCACTGTCCTTCAGTAGTATTGCCTACTTCCTGCTAAGATCACTAGCATGAAAGTGTTAAGCACAATGCGTGGGATAGTGCTGCTCAGGGAATGGGCAGTCATCAGATAATTCTCCTAGGGTTTAGACTACTAAGTCCTGCCACTGAGGAAGGCCAGCTGTATCACCACTTTCCATGCATAATGGTTATGGGCAACTTGTCAGGTAGGGGTGAATTGCCCTTGTTTTTGTGTACAGCTTTGTCTGTCTGCAAGTGCCTTCCCCTCAGTCTCTTGACCTCCCAGCAACTGGGCTGTTTCTAAGGAGCACCTCTGTTTCGCACAACATACAGCTTGGGGGTGGAGCTAAGTGGGGCTGGCAGGACACTGGGAGATGGGATGTGACGCAGCAGGGGACCAAGGATAGGATGTACTTGCTGTCATTCCTGGGCTGGGCACCAGACTGCTGCTGTCAGCATGGGCCCCACAGCAGGATACTTACTTGCTAATTTTCTCAGTGAAAAGGAATGTGAGAGAGGTATGTGCTCAACTCTAGCATGTCATGTTTTGCATGTCATTTTCACCTGACATGCAAAGGCCCCATGGGCATGGAGATGACCTCCTGTAGCAAGGGAGAAAGGGCTTTCCCCTCCTCAGTACCTCTGTAGGGTTTTAAGTCTCAGAGTTCCTGCCCAAAATGAAAGGTCCAGGCCTGGGGGAGATGCCCAGGCCCTCAGATTCCCAGTTTTATTCTTTTACCTACCATGGGATGTAGATAAAGAATCCAAAGAAGAACGAATGGAAGCACTTCTAGTGGGCAGGTCACCATAGGAGCCTGGAGTGAAGCATGAGAATAGGAGGAAGGAAAATGTTTAGTCTTTCACAATATAATTTATAGAAACTCTGACTTTTGGGGCTTGTCCTTTTGATGGATAAGGCCTCCTGGGGCCCTGACATTGCAGTGTCTCTGATGCTCTTGACAGTGCTCCCTCAGACTGACAGGGAGCTCATGCAGGATCAACAGCTTACAGAAAAAACAAAAATGGAACCCATGGAGATAAGGCCAAGACCTTCAGCCAAGGTAGTCTAAAGAAAATTGATTTTTAGAAATCCAAACGAAGTAATTAAAAGTAAAGCCAAATATTTGCTCTGCCTTGAGCAAAGATGGAATGAGCCACTGAGCACCTAAAAGCCTCAGGCTCACTCCGGGAGCATCGAGGAGGAGTCTAACCTCTTATGGTCATGGTGCTTTTTATTACATTCATTTGAGGAAATGACTGTACTAAGCCATGAAGATAAGAGAAATAAGATCTAAATATAGAACAGCAATTAAACCACAGATATGTTGAAACCTCTAAGGTTGAGGAAATTCCTACTCCATTTTAAATTTCAGAATAAATAGTCATAATAATAACAGTAGTTCCTAGGACATAGAAGGTATGGAATTGTGTTCTCCTGTAAAGTGTGCTTGCCTATATTATAGAGTACTAAGTATGTATCATGAAAATAATGTAGAAATAACTGCAAGTCCTGCCACTTGGCAACTATGGAATATGTCCTTCCAGACATTTTTAAATATATGAATGTATATATTCCGCGCGCGCGCATGTGTGTGTGTGTGTGTGTGTTGGTCTTGGGCTTGAACTCAGGGCCTGCGGGCTGTCCTTGAGCCTTTGTGCTCAAGTATAGTGCTCTATCACTTGGGCCACAGCTCTACTGCTGGCTTTTGCTGGTTAATTGGAGATATGAGTCTCACATTTTCCTTACCTGTCTGGCTTTGAACTGCAGTCCTCAGATCTCATCCTCCTGAGGAGCTAGGATTATAGGCATGAGCCACCAGCACCTGACTGACTATATATTCTTCTATAACTCATGATAGTTTATAACCCATCTCCATGTCAATACGTTGGTACTTTCTATCTAGTGTCTACTGAGTGGCACAATGTAAGGAAGGATTTGTTGATTTGTATCGTTTAAGAGTTGGCCCTTCTCATGTGCTATTCTTTCTTTAGCAGGTATCTTCTGCAGAGGTACGCATCGGACCCATGAGACTGACACAGGACCCGATCCAGGTATGCTTCTGTTCCCCAGTAGGGGCTTTATTGTCAGGGCACATGGAGATGAGGGCAGTGTTGAGAACTTTCTGCTGCAAGAGCAGATAGCCACCCTTGCCCTCTCACACCTGTGTATGCATGGTGTGTGTTTTCAATGGTTTGTTTTTATTAATATCACATTGGAAGACCCAAATTGTATTCTTGATGACATCACCCCGTTTTGAGTATAAACATGAAGAGTAGTTTGCATGACGGATTGTGAGGAAGAATCACTCTTCCACCCAAAACTAGACTGTCCTACTTCTTCTTACATGCAGGAACAGAATGTGTTAAAGTAAGGGGCTTTGCCATGAGCTGTAGCTGGGAGGCTCTGCTATATGAGCTTTTATGTATTGTCCCTCCTATGTCCCATTATCCTGCTAAAAAATGGAGATCATAATGCCTTTCCCACTTGTAAGTGAAGTGAAGGCCTTGAGTGCCTAGAACACAGTCTGCAAGGCAATATGCTCAAGAAATATAATGTGCTAAATTAGTTGCTTGCGGAGAAGAGAGCAGTGGAGAGGAGAAGTGAAGGAGGGAAAGAGAAGAGATGAGAGAAAAGGAGAAGAGAGGGGAGGGGTGCAGAGGGCAGGGGCTGGGAGAAGAGGAGAGGAGAGAATAGGAGGAGAGAAGAGAGGAGAGAAGGAGAGGAGAAAATGAAAGGTTCTCTTTCAGGCCAAGCAGCCTACTTACCGGGCTCCATGACACAGAGGCAGGGGGTCCCTGAGAGAAGGCCCAGCCACCTGTGGGAATGGCCTGACTCTAACGATCACCACAACTCTTATTTTTCTCACAACTTATTCAACTTCCAGAGAAACATGTACAAAAGGAGCTTATGCCTATTTAAATAACGGAAAATTTCCCCTCAGTATATAAATCAGCTTCTTTATCCTAAATAATGAATCTCCCTCCTCTTTATAACCAGTGTAGCTTGCCAGCACCTAGCAGCTCACCCTGGGCTCAGGAGTGAACCCGCAGACAAGTAGACAAGTGTAGTGATGCTGGTAGAAACAAGCTAAGGAGGTGCACAGTGCAAGTTAGGAGCAAATGGAAAAAGACAATAAAGCTTCAGGGTTGTTTGAGAAGGAAGGAAATACGATGCTAGGCAAAGGAAAAAAACAAAAAGGAGAGATTTAGCTTGGGAAAATTTGATGAAAATAAATCTAGGAGCCGGGAGAGAAGGAGAGAAAAAAATAAGCTACAACTATTTGTATAGAATACAAACAAGTGGAAAATTCCAGTAGTCATTCTGAGGGCATGTACTTCATACTCCAGTTTTGGGTAAAGGCAATGACAAGTAAAGGCACTGATACCAGATATTTATTCACAAAGCAGTTTTCATAGTACTTGCCCGGGGAGTAGGAGAAGGGGAGAGGGGTAGCGGGGGGAGGGGGTGTGGGGGGGTAGCTAATGTAGTTTTCAAACAATCTCATTTACCTTCATTTGGGCCTGTGCTATACTGGCAATGAATGCTTATGTTAAGGTTGTCTCATACTTTAAAAAATGTAAGTTGTGGGGCTGGGAAGGTGGCTCAGTGGTAGAGTGCTTGCCTTGAATGCCTGAGGCCCTGGGTTTGATTCCCCAGCACCACATAAGCAATAAGAAAAAAGCCGGAAGTGGCACTGTGGCTCAAGTGATAGAGCGCTAGCCTTGAGCTGAAGAGCTGAGGGACAGCGCCCAGGCCCAGAGTTCAGGCCCCATGACCGGACCCAAAAAAAAAAAATGTAAGTTGTCAAGTTGTGAATTATTTCAAATATTTATAAAGGTATATGTGTATACTCACTTTCATTAAATATTAATATTAGCCCTATTCATTTGGGAGAGGTAAGTTTTTTTTTTCCTTTTCAGAAACAAAGATTGCAGCTGGGTATATATTGGCTCATGCCTGTAATCCCAGCACCCTGGAGGTAGGGGCCAGAACTATCACAAATTTGAAGCCAGAATAGATCACAAATTGAGAGCTTGTCATAAAAATCTAAGGTGGTACAACACTTACTTAGCATGTTCAAAGCCCTGAGTTTAGTCCCTGGCACTGCAAAAGAAAAAAAAGTAAAAGACTGTAGATGCTGTTGAACACGTCACTTATCCCTGCGCCCTTTCCCCAAATACTTCATTGTTGCATCATTCTGAAATTTATTCTCTTCATTCAGTGTCATTTGATGTCATATCAAAGAACCCATTGCTTAATCTAGAGTCACCAAGATTTAGTTCTTCATTCGCTTCTGAATGCACTATAATTTTAGCTTTTACACTTAATTTTCGAGTTACTCTGAGTTCTCTTTTATAGGTAGGGATCTGCCTTCATTTATTTGTATGGAATAATGAATTGTCCCTGTAACATTTGTTAAACACCCCCCCCCACACACACACTCATACACATTTCTGCATTGAGTTGTCCTGACACCTTTGTTAAAAATCAGTCATCCATGAATGTGAGAGTTTGATAGATTCTCAGCTCTCTTCCACTGGTTTTTACGTCTCTCTTTATGTCAGTACCACACAGTTTTAACCACTATAACATTTGCAGTTTGAAAATTGTGAAGTGCGAGTTCCCCATTTTTATTCTCATCTTTCAAGATTATCTTGCTTTATCTGTTGACTGCAGCTTCACTGAACTGATGTATAAGCTCTTACAGACTTTTCATAGATTATTATAAGTTCTTAAAGACTTTTGTGAAGTACTTGGTTAAATCCATTCATCATTTTTGTAATGGAGCAAGTGTTTTGAACTCAGGACTTTGTACTTGCTAGGCAAGTGCCTATTGTTTGACCAACCCGTTTTTCTTCTTGTTATTTTTCAAGTAAGTTTCATGCTTTTTGTCCAGGCTAGCCTTGGATTGTGATATTTTTACCTATGCCTTCTGCACAGCTGGGATTACAGGTGTGCATCACCATGACTGACTTGTCATTTTGAGAGAATCTCACTAGCTTTTTTGCCTGGACTAGTCTTTGACCCTACTTTTTCTATCTGCCTGCCAAGTAGCTGGGATTACATGCAGATGAGTCACTCTGCCTGGTTTCCATTTGTTTAATTGGGTTAATTTTTTTAAGTCTTTAAAAGAAATTCTTCACATATATTTATAACAAAGTCCTTTGTCTCCCAATCCCAGGTGTTTTTATTCATTTCATAACTCTGGCTTTTGATGAGCATACTTTTCATTTTGATTTGATTTGATATTTTATACTGCATACTTGCATATATTATACATACTAAGCATCCAAAATGTTATAAAACTATCCCAAGTTATTCTGTATTTTCTGTCCTTTCAAACATGATGTAGTCCTTTGCAGGATTTAAAAATTGTTAAAAGCTTCACTTTCCTCTCATGGAAATGTAGTTTTGAATTTTTTATATTTGATATATTGAAACACAAAAATATTTTTGGCTTTGTATATGATTTTGTATACAAAATAATTATATACAATTATTTTTAACATAATAATAAAATGAATATTAAACCTACCAACACACGGAAGGTCTAGAATACCTGTGTTGCTACATATCAGGCCTGGTTTACATTGCATGAATTTGGACCCAAATGACAGCTAAGAAAGTGGTAGAGTCCTTTTCTTAGTGATAGAATAAATAATTAAAAGATTCCTTGGAAGAAATAAAACCACATGCTTACAGTCAGCTGGTATTTGACAAAGGAGCCAAAGACATACAGTGGAAGAAGTATAGCCTCTTCAACTACTGGTGCTGGGAAAACTGGGTGGCCACATGCAGAAAACTAAAAGTGGACCCCACCCTGTCACCATGCACCAACATCAACTCAAAATGGATTAAAGACCTTAACCAAACCTGAAACTCTGAAACTACTGGAGGACAGAGAAGGACAGACACTTGAACTTATAGACACAGGCAGGAACTTCCTGAACAGAGTCGCAGGGTCACAACAAATTGGAGAGAGACTCGATAAATGGGACTACATTAAAATAAAAAGTTCCTGCACAGCTAAAGACTTAGCAACCAAACTAGAAAGACATCCAGCTAATTGGCAAAAAATATTTGCCAGCAATATATCAGATAAGGGGCTAATATCCAGGAGATACAGGGAACTCAAGAAACTAATCCCTCCCAAACCTAACAAACCAATTACTAAATGGGCAAGGGAACTAAGAGAGACTTCCCAGAAGAAGAGATAAAAATGGCAAAGAAACACATGAGGAAATGTTCATCATCCCTGACTGTAAAGGAGATGCAAATAAAACAACCCGGAGATACCACCTTACCCCAGTCAGAATGGCCCACATCCTAAAGTCAGCCAATGACAAATGCTAGAGGGGATGCGGAGAAAGAGGAACTCTATTGCACTGCTGGTGGGAATGTACACTAATACAACCACTTTGGAAAGCAGTCTGGAGGTACCTCAGAAAGCTAAATATAGACCTCCCCTATGACCCAGCCATACCACTCCTAGGCATCTACCCTGAGCAACAGGAACAGGATACAAGGACACATGCACCTCCATGTTCATTGCAGCACTGTTCACAAGATATGGAAACAACCCAGATGCCCCACTACAGATAGATGGATCCAAAAATTGTGTTACCTGTATACAATGGAATATTATGCAGCCATTAGAAAGGACAAAATAATGGCATTTGCAGGGAAATGAATGGAACTAGAAGAAATCATTTTGAGTGAGGTAAGCCAAGAGCAAAGGGACAAAAGTACATGGCCTCCCTGATATGTAGATGTTAAATCCAAAATGCAAGGAGATATGACAAAGTAAACAGGACTCGAGGAAAAAAGGACCTCCACTCATCATATCATTACTAAATGACCCCATGTTGTTCACCACATTTATGGTATATATACATGTGCACCAAGCAAGTGCCTTAGAAAAATCAAACCATGTCCTGATGCTTTCACTTTTGTCATATTTTTCCCCCTTGGAGAAAAATATCTATTCTGTTACTTCACTGGAATGCCAAAAATATTAATTAGTTACATCAGCCAAGAGCCCTAAGGGCTT